GATGACAGGCGGCAGGCGGTGGTCGGCTGGGCTGAAGGAATCGGCGGGCTGGGGTTCTCGCTGCTTCTCTCGACTGGGCGACGGGTGGGAGAAATTTGGGGAAGAAAGGGGGAAAAAGAATTTTATTTGGGGATTTAGGCTAGGGTTTAAATTAAGGAAAGGTTAAAAGAAATTAAGGTTGGAAGAAATTCAAGAAATATAATTAGCTTGGATAGTTCAAGGGTTGGGTTGGCAAACTATAGGCCCGGGTTTGAAACTTTTTAAAGATAAAAAGAATTACTTTGGGTTTTAAGCTCTAATTCCTTAAGGTTTTCTTAAAACTAGCATTTCCTTCACCTAAGGTGAGACTAAGGGTTTTTTCATTTATTAATTAGATGTTTCTTTTTAATTAACTAGTCATTAAACCTAAGGTTAAGGAACACTTAAAGGAACGGATTAGATTACCTATTCAAATCTACCTAAAACGGAAGGCTTAAGGGAAAAAACACAAAGAAACGAAACTCGAAGGTAAAGAGATTGGCTCGGGAAAAAGGATACCTGCGGTTTCCTCCTCAGCTAGATCCTCAGCTTCTGCTTGCGATCGGCTCATCACAAACACCTTGCCTTGAGGCCTTGACCCGCCTGAAGGTGCACTCCCAAACCCACGACTATTTCCACCTCCCGATGGTCCCAAAGGTGAGGGTCTTGCACTAGAGTGATGCTGGGATGGTCCTCCTTGTTCGGCTGGGTAGGGGCAAGCACGAGCCTTGTGTCTTCTTCTGCCACAGTTGAAGCATTGAAGCGGGTTTCCTTGATAATCTTTCCCGACATGATCCTTACTACACCTCCAACATGAATTCGATCCCTTTCTCACCTTCGAATGTGTCCTTGACGACTCTTGTCCTTGGGAAAAGGTTGCTTTAACGTTGTATTCACCTCTTGTTCTCTTGAAGTTCGGGTTCCCACTCCCCTCAACCCTTGATGATGGGAGGGTGGCTATTGTTGTTGAGGAGGGCGTTGCTCAGCATCTGGGTGATTTGCGTCAGTTGATGAAGGCTTTGAACTAACTGATCGTTGGTGGCCGCTTCTGAAGACCTTGCACGACGTCTCGATGGCGCCATCCTTGACTTCTACAGAAACAACACGGTAACGGGAGGAAACTTAGAGCCCGCACCCTTACCCGGTGCCTTAACTTAAAAGAACCAAAGCTGGAAGAAGAACAAAGCACAGGAAGTATAACAGAAAACGATAAGAGAACTCACAACCCCACCGCGCGTCCTAAAGTTCCTACGACTTAGGTACATAAACACTTAGGATTCGAGCTTAACTTCTTAAGGTCTTACGCTTGAAGGCACTAACCTAGGTTCCAATCTACGTTCTTAAAGTCCAACTCTTAACCTCCTAGGCTCAAACCTAGGCTCTGATACCAACTGTAACACCCTCGATTTTCAACAAATTTTAAAAGCTTAAACAAGAGACAAAAAACTAAACATTAATCATTAAGCAACGGAAGCAACGTCTAAACACGGAGGTGCTATGCCACACCTATATCAAACATAGGTGCACAGGCAGATACTACAACTAAATCAGTCGAACAAATCAACTACTTAGGCTCACAGGCTTCAACAACTATTAAAGGAAGAGATCTAATCTATCTACAGGCCACTAACGCGCTCTCCAAAGCTACTCAACCTGTAAAAGATAAGGGATAAAACCCGGTCAGCGAATAATGCTGGTAACCCACCAACACGCGTTAAGTATCATAATATACATAGATATAATCAGAATCCTTTGAGACTGGGAACACAGTATATATCATTTTCAAAGCCGAGAGAGGGGAAACATCAATAGACTCATCAATCACTCACAACAAAGAACAAAGACCAACACACTCAATAAGACAATAGAACCACAAGCAACAAACTCAACAATAAAGTACAACGTACGACTCACAATGAAGGATTCACAAAATACATGCTCTTAAGCAATAGAAGGCCAGATTCACACCATAACGAGTTCCAAGTCCACATAGGACACAGTCACACCAAGTCATATACCATGGAGTCAGCACCACGGCTCGATTCATAATGGATCAGTGTAGAGGGCTCCAAATAATCAATCATGTATCACGTAGTCATCGCAACGACCCGGATCACATGCTATAGTGTCATCGCAATGGCAATGACCGCAGCCCAATGGAAGCAGAGCTAGCAACTTTAAGTGTATACACCCCATATTGAGATTCCAAGCTCAACGGGTTAGCTACTATCTCTGGCAACTGGAATGAGTTTCCCATGTTGCCCACAAGTAAAGTATCCAAATGGCAATCCGGAGCTTTAAACCCACTACCGGATGCAATCACAATAAGTCCCCACACTATCCACTTTACCAGTTCAATCATCTCATCACATCAATCTATCATCTCAACAAGAGTCAATACACATGGAATCTAGAGATACAACAACACCTAGATTCCACACAAAGTGTGTACAACAGAGGATAAGCTCAACAATAGCTTAATCAAGGAATAATCATACACACGGGATCACATCAAGGTATTTAATCAAGGGGTTTCAATGAAGGACATGAAATGATACTCAATGACAATAATGGACCTCAATCCAATATCAACATGATTGGCACCACGAGTTGCCAATCCTCAATAGAAAGGAACAAACAACACATACTAGCATCAATGACACCAAGACTAGCATGCATATCAAACGGGTAAACCAAAATGGTTCCAACGAACCTTTAAGACTCATATTAGCCCAACGAATCACAAGGTTGGACCCTTAGCACGATTCAAGACACCAAATCCTAACATGGATTCCTAACTCATTGCTCTAGATATACGTAACACCAAGGAGACGCACAAAAGCTCAACAATTCAATCAAACGGGGGCCAAAGAATCACACACGAATGGGCAAAATGGTGGGTAAACAACCCCCACCCATTTCTCAAATAGGTACCCCGCGGGTGGGGCCACGGGTAGGGCTCCACCCGTGGTAGTACCCGCGGGGTACATCAGGGCCCAAAAATCAACATACGCGAAAATTCACTTTCAAGGCCAAGTTCAAGTCCAAATGACTCCAAATATTTCCACACAACAAAAATATGACTTGAACCTATGAATAGCTCATACAATAGCATTCAAGAACCCTAAATACAAGCTCTAAGTATGCATTATCACAAGATCATGCATCAATCACTCCAACACATCAAGAATGTCACATAGAAGCCAATAATCATTCTTATCAAGTGAAAATAGGTTTTGTGTAACATGGGTTACCTCTTGTAGACCAAGAAAACCTTCTTCAGCCTCAAAGCAAGACCAAAGCTCCTCTAGATCAACCTAGAACTTCACCCAGCACTAGATCTTCTACAAACTCCCAAAACTCACAAGGTAGAAGAAAGATTTAGAGAAAAGATGGAGGAATCTTGTAAGAAAAAGGTAGGGAAGGATAGATCTTACCATTCCTAGCCTTGTAGTGTTGGAAAGTTGGAATCTTGGCTTGGGATTTCTTGAAGAACTTATGAAGATCAACCCTAGGATTTCCTAGAGAGAAAGAGGAGTAGGGAGCAAGAAAGAGATGTAGAGAGAAGGGGAATCCTGAACAATGATTTGGATTCCTTGGTTAGGGTAGTGTTTTAATGCTAGCATTGTGTGAAATGACCAAAAGGGCCCCTTCCTCCCAAAACTTGTTAGGAGAAAGACAAAGTCTAGGGTACAAGGGCTAAAGCACAAGGTACAACTCATTGACCAAATTAAAAGAGTAAGGGATTTGGTCAAACTAGGTCCCTCAACTAATTTCAAAGGGAAATTAGGATAAGAATTGTAAAGCCACAAGGAATTAATTAAGGAATTAATTCAGGTTTTAGGGAATGAATTTCCGGGGTGTCACATTAATGGTGGAAAGGATCTTACCCTTCCAGTGCTTTAATGGTGGAAAGGTGGAATCTTGGAGAGTTCTCTTGCAAGGATGAAGATGGATTTTACTTGGATTGGAGAGAAAGCTAGCCTTTCTAGAGAGAAGGTAGAGTGTCTAGTGTTTTCCTTACCAAGGTAGGAAATGAAGTGTGGTCATGCTAGGGTGAAGCTTGAATGCCAAGCAAGGGTGAAAAGGCTAAAATACCCTTACTTTCTCAAAAAGGCTAGGAAGACCTCAAAAGGCTAGGTACAACCTATAAAGCTCAAGGTCCTTTTTATTGACTAAACCAATTGACCAAGGAATTGGTCAATTTAAGTCCTCCGACTTTATAATTAAGAAATTGGAAGGGAAAATTCACAAGGAAGGTTTAGAATTAATTACATAATTAATTCTATTTAAGAATTGGATTTTCGGGGTGTCACATCCTCCTACTATGATACCTCCACCTATTGTGGCACTTCCTCTACCTATTATGGCACCTCCTTCTATTGGAATAGTATTTGGTTCACCAACAGACTCGGCGATTCCATCACCATCAGACTCCACTCCTCCACTCACACCCTCATCAATCACAAGATCATCTATCGGTTGTGATTTGCCTATTATACATGTAGTGGATGTGAGGTAAAAATGTGTTATTATGTTTATATTTATGTGTATAATTTTTTTTATTTTTATTCATCTCTTATATATGTATAGGTTGATACCTTCTCCCACATGTTCAAGTACAATGAAAAAAATATTCGTGCAAAGGATCTACTCTAATGGATATACTTGGAAGAATGTGTCAGATGAGTACAAGGAGTCATACGTTGAGGAGTTTAAGGTAAATTCATGATATGGTTTTGAAAATATTGTGGTTAATTTTTTTATGCTAGAATGTTGTTACATTTCTGTCAATAACTTTGTCCAATGCATCTTATGGTGTTGTTGTAATGTATCTATTTTCCTTTGCATATATTTGATGGATTTGTAATGTTACAAAAATTTTACAAGTGGGATGAGTCCATTGACAGACAAGTTCACAAAGCTTTTTTAGCACAAGCAGGCATACACTATATATATATGGTCTTCAAATTCAAGGCGAGACAGACTTCAACTACGAGACCATCTTGTCTACCTGAAGAAACATGACGCATTTGGGAGGCATATTGGGATAAGCCTGACGTGAAAGCTAAATCTGAACAACAACGCAAGAATAAGATGAGTGAGGTGGCAGGACCTGGTACGAGATGTTCTCAACATACCGGAGGATCTAGATCAGATATTAAGCACTATCACAAATTGGTAATACATTTAACTTAAAATTTATTATTTGTATATATTTTACAATGTTAAATATTATATTGTTTGTGCTTTTTTAATAGCGAGATGGACTTCAAAAGAACCAAATCTGTTTGAGTGCTTTGAGCACATGCACAAAAGGAAGAATGGCATATTCGTTGATGAGAGATCAAAGAAAATCGTTATAAGTATAACGTAGCAATTATATATTGTTAAATAGATAAAATTCTTATATGTCTTTGTATACTTCTTTTATTTTGTATATGATTTTAATTGTAGGAAGAAATACAAACACGACATGATGCTGCAACGCAAGAGGCTGAAGGGTCAACTGAGCCGCCAATTATAAACATGTCACAACTGTATATGGATGTTGTTGGTGGGATAAAGAAACAATGTATTTATGGCATAGGTAGTAAGGAATCCTCATTTATCAAAGAGAATAGTTGTAGTTTATCTGCTACTTCACAACTTCATCAAGATGCAATGAAGGAGATGGTGACCCAACAATTAGAGACCATGCGAGTTGAGATGCAGGCTCAACTACTCATATGCAAGCTCAACTAGAAGCGGAAAGAACTCAAATGCAGGCTCAAATATTTTACATATAATCTATTATTTTTTATACTTGATAATTTTTTGGGAAAAGGATCAAATAGGCCCTCGAACTTTAGCTTAAAAGTCAATTAGGCCCCTAAACTTTTTAAAGGTGCAATTACACCCATCAACAATTCATTTAGGTGCAATGAAGTCCAAAAACAAGTTAATGACCTGCTATCACAGGTCATTAGGGTTCAGGCCACCTTCCGGCGATTTTTCCGGCAAAAAAAAGTGACCAGCAACCAACCCAGATTTACCAAAAATTTCGCCGGTCACTTTTTTTGCCGGAAATTTCGCCGGTCACTTTTGTTTTTTTTTGCCGGAAAATTTGCCGGAAGGTGGCCTGAACCCTAATAACTTGTGATAGCAGGTCATTAATTTGTTTTTGGGCTTCATTGCACTTAAATGAATTGTTGATGGGTGTAATTGCACCCTAATTGACTTTTAAGCTAAAGTTGGATGGCTTATTTGACCCTTTTTCCTAATTTTTTTTAATTTATAGATTAGTCTTAATTGTAATTGAAAATAAAATATTCGAAGCAATTGACATCGAAATTTTGTATTTAAATATGAAATCGAAATTGTTGTGAACAATTTTGTATTTAAATAATATGAACAAAAAATGGCACTTTTAAATTAACTTTTGAATTGTATTATTTCTTTGTTAATTTTTTTATTCAATATATTTGGACAAAAAAATTTAGTTGCATTTTTATTTTGTTATAGAATACAATAACTTGGAGTCGAAATGGATTTGAACTCAATTACCTCAATTATAGAGATTTTTAGATCTTCTAGACTTCTATCTTTATCTTTTAAAGGTCTTTTGTTATCATGTTTCTCACCTTTATAAATAGAAATCTCTATCACTATAGCGAAATTTAAATATTTAAAAATTCTCCCTATCTTCTTGTCTCTCTATTATTATCTTTGTCTTTGCAGTTTACTCTATTATATTTAAATTGCATCTCGAAACAAAAAGAAAATAAATAAATAAATAAAAATGAAGGTCCATATTAAACTATTAGACATGTCCCCTATTTTAAATGGAACGGCCCTGGTGGCTAGGAGGATTGTTGGGTGGAAGCCAGTGAAGGGCCAAGTCTAGCACCCTGCCTCTCGAAAATGTGATGGCGGTATATAAGAAAATAAAGTTTCATTTTCATAGTGAACTATATCTTTTAGCGTAGTAGTAAGCGCTTGATTCTTAAAACATGGTATCTAAGCTAGATCACGGATTTGAATCTCAAAAAGAGCATAAACTATACAATTCCCTAACAATATGAGTTCCTTTAGATAAAAGTAAGACTATGAAATTCTTTTGCCTTTAATAATATAATTAATTTTATTTGTTGTCTTTGGGGTTTACATTTATGGGTTTTTTGGTAATATATAAATGTTATTAATGTTTATACTATTATCATTTAAAACATATAAATGGTTCATTAGAAACAGAATTTCAAGCATGTCCATAGCTAGTCAAATATAATACACCACAGATTTTTTATCCATTGGCACACACACCAAGTTTGCTTCAGAGTTTAGGGTTATTCCCCAATCCCCATCAAACAGGTACCCACAACAATTCCATTATTCCAACCACATCAATCACTCACAGACTTTCTGCCTCCTTTCCCCTTTCAAATTTAATATATATCCAATTCGGGTCTTCGTCAAGCAAGAAAATTCATTTCCCCTTGGCTTTTCGTAAGATGGAATACTGGGTTTGTAAAAAAAAAAAAAATTTACTGCTTTTGTTTTTAACAGATCTTTACATAAGATTCTCAGATCAACAACGTAGTAACGATGCTGTCGAGAATAAATTATTACAGATTGTTCATCTCTCCCTTGTCGTCTTTGTTGTCTCGGGAGGCCTGCAGAATTCAAGAATCAACCAACACCACCCTTCACCCTTCGTATGTAAGACATCTGATTCTATTCCATGCCTTCCCTCTTTGAAGTAGTAGGTATGTTTCCACTTTTTTTTTCCTTTATATCTTTGAATTTGATTCACAGACATGCATTATATTGTATATAATAATATTTGTTGGGGGTAAAACGAGTTACTGTTAATTGTGGGTTGGAGTCAAAATTCTAATCTTGAAAAAGTGGGCATGGTCAAAATTTCCGGCTTATATGGAGCTCAGGTTTTGATTGAAGTCTCTTGTCTAGTTGTCTAGGTCAGTATGGATAAGGCCCTACTATGTGTATACATGTTGGATATTTATTTGTTACATAAAATTACTCATCATCTCCTTATTTAATTATATTGGTCGTTCATAGAATTAAGATAACTTTTTAATCATACAACACATGTATGTAGTAGAAGTTAAGTAAACTATAAATATAATCAAAGTTTTTCACGGACCAGAAAGCTAATTGTTCCGTCAATTGATTAGCTATAAGCCATCACTAAAAAGAATGAGATTTTGCATCATTTAATTACAACTTTCTTGCCAAGCACCTTGTGTTCAGATGATATGTACTGACTTTTCCCATATAAGAGATCATGAGATCGAGCCTCAGTGGATGTGTTAAATTCTTTTAGCTAGTCTTATTATTTCTCGTTCTTTTTCTTTTATTTTATTTTCTTTTGATATGTAGAAAAACATTTTCCACTACAAATAACACTAGAAATTAATAACTATGATTGTCAAGTCAAATAAGAGGATTTTTTTTTTTTTTTAAAAATTGAGATAATTACTTTTTTATAAGTGGGACAAGTAATAATCCCCACCATCATCCACAATTGTGGGACCTATCTCACACTTGTGCAACATGGATATGTCACCACGTTGGATTCATATCCTAGCAAATGAATTTTATATATATAGGAAAATAATAAGTAGATTCCAAAGTGAGTAAAATTCCCACTATATATTTTGATTTTATTAGAGTAAGAAAAAGAAAGAAATAAAATTGTGGCCCACATTCTTGTGAATAAATTAAAATGTGACATATAAACCGGAAGTAGAAAATGAAGTAGAATGTGAGAATATGTGTAATATTACTCTTTTTATATAGTAGGTGTGAAGAAAAAATTTTGAAATTAAAAAAAAGCAATATCTTGAAGCTAAGCATAAGCTTATTAATTGTCACTCATTTGCCAAAAAGTAGCATATCTAAGTGTGTGTATGTGTGTGAACACATACACACACTCACTAAGAAGCAATAATATTAATATTTTCATTACATATATGATAGCACCCAATAATTATATTTAATTTCAAAAGAACTTCTAAATATACAAAGGCTAGGTTGACTGCCTTCCCATAAACATTGGTTTTAAGCCTATACAATTTTAATCATGTTATGAGAGTTTTAGTCTTTCGTGGTTATAGTATAGGTTTAATTAATTTCTAAGTTATTATTTTTTTTTTTTTTGAATGCAATTTCTAAGTTATTTAATTTGCAGCGTAAATGTAATCCCTAAATTTTTAATTGGCGTATTTGGTTTTTACAACTGAGGTTTCTTTAAAACCCTAATCAAATCAACTACTCCCCCAGAAGGACTAATATAGGTTCCTTAGGAATGGCCGCTATTCCTCGTGACTTCCAAGAATGTTATATGTGTCAATAAAATGTAAAAGCAAACAATCAAATAGGTAATTTATCAAGAATGTTATTCTATTTTTGGAGGTTAAATATATACCAAGATTATAATTTAAAGACTAAAAATGTCATTTTATTCTCCCTTTAAAAAATGGCATTTTTCTTAACTATGCCTAGCTAATTTTGATTATTAACCATCGCAAGAGGAGCTAAGTTAGTGGCAATCCCACAAATCTTGATTTAGAACTTACACAACTCTCATTTACAAGGAATTTGGTTGTAATAAAGAAATTAAGTGGGAAAAGAATTGCAATTTTACGGAATCACGGGAGTGGAATAATGTGGAAAAAAAAAAGTAGGAATTTGAATTCCAATGTTTGATTCGTAAGAATAGAATTACTGAAATTTCAATTTGTATCCATAGAAATTAGAAGAGAATAAGTAGTATAAAGACCAAAATGTTCATACTTATTATTATATTTATTATTATTATTCTGAAACAACAAGTAAATTTGTGTCAAAACTATAGTACAATGCAATTGTTATTTGGACACTTTGGATATAAACTTACATGGTATGAACATATTTAATAGCTCCCAAAATTTACTTAACCATACAACGTTAAGTTTTATAAGTTCAAATCCAAAAAACTGCATAAAAATAAAAGTATAAAACTTAGTTAAACATAATAAAATTTTAAACTTTTTAAATGCTTACATCCAAAAATATCATAAAAGGGTATTTTGTCTCAATAATATTTTTTTTAAGTTAGAAAGAGAAAGGTAATTTTGTCTCAACAACATCTTTTTCTTTTCCCAATCAATGCGAAATTTAAATATCAAGGAGAACATGAGATTCTAATTCCATGAAAATGAGGGAGGCAATTCCCTCTAACCAAACAAAAGAATTTGCTCGCCTTCGAAATTAAGCGGAAATTAAGTCAGAGTGGAATTCTAATTCCCTCTAATCAAAAGTAAAGTTATCTGTCTATAATTGTTAATTAGGGTGCATGTGATTTTTTTACTGTGTCAATAGTACATAACACAATAGTATCATACTTTTTTTTTTTTAAACCAATAGTATCATACTTATTATATCAAGTATTATGGTATTATTTTGGGGCAACCCAAGTTGATTGAGTTGGTTGAATAGTTAATTAACTTTATAACTATATAAGGTTTCAAGTTCAACTCATAATAGTTGGAGCTGTTTATTACCTTTTTAATTTTTATGAGCAACTTAAGTTAATTTACATCCTTATGATTCTTTGTTAATTATAATTACAATACGAGTTTCATCCAAAATGTTAATTATATATGGAATAATGATGGGGACGGAGCTAGGAACGGTTGACAGGAATATGTCAAATTTGTTCATTGATTTCAGAAAAAAGAGCCAATCATAATTGGAGTACTTGGTACTTTTTAATTTGTACTCCCTGCGCAAATTGGATTGGAGCAGTTGGACATTAAATGACTTTATATATATAGGAGCACATATATAGGTTATGCATATTTTATGATGTCGTATACCATAATTTTATTTAAAACATTTATAAAATCATCTTCAGTATAACTTTTCCAACTACAAAATACCATTTTAGGTGAAGTCCACATTATAACTTATTCTGATCTAACCGGTAAAAACCAGTCACAAGGAGGTAAATCAGTCTACGTTATTTATAGTTGATTTATTCAAACCAAAAGTTAATAGACAACTTTACGGACCATGAGAGTTGAACTTCAAACTTGTGTTACGTTACGTTGTCGTTACTAGTCAATTGTCCAACAAATTTGACTATATATATGACTATATGTATGTATGTATATAGTTAACGTTTTGTTCTAAAAAATTTTTTGCCTTTAGAGTGGAAACCACCCTATTCCACTACCAGATAATCATTAATCATCAGTACAAGATTATATTATTTGATCATTATCAGCGAAATCATTCTGCACTATGAACCCTAAATCCATTTCGACATAATTCTCATTTAATGGAAGTAGTTGAAGGCCGGTAGGCCATAATTAATTAAGGTATATTCTTAGCGAATACTGGATGTTGTTCCAATCAAAATTGAAACAAAATAAATAAATAAATACATTCTAGGCATTTAATCCTGTATGTCCATATATACTTTAATTTCATCTTTGATTTTGCATCATCATGAACTAAAATGATTTTATCACAGTGCATTTCATGTTCATGTTGTAATACATACATTAATCTCTTGTATAGTAATATAACAGACTAATGCCTAAAAATGACTTTATATAATATGATCTAAATATTATTAATAAAGTGCATTAGTTATATATACACACACATACATATATATAAATATACATATGCTTTAACACTATGCCAGTATTTGCTATCCACACCTGTATATAGAGATTATATTCAACATAGAATGAGCACACAATAGATTTGAATAGTGTAGTTTAAGGATGCATAAATATGAATTCTATTAAGGTTATTCATGAAAACAACATAGTATTACATCTTTCAGTTATTCTTTATAATCATTGAATAATATTACTATACACCATCAATTTTTTTTAATACGATCTCCTCATAGCATAGATTTCATGACATCTGTATTCATATTTAAAAATTTGTCACTTCTAATGATTACACAGATGACATATATAATATTATAATAACAATCAAGAAAGACTTGTAAAGTATCCCTGGCCAGTATTTAATTTGAATAAAATATTTTTCTAATAAAGATATTTTTTTTTTTGGGTACACTTTTCCAATAAAGAGATAATACAGAATTGAAATAATTGAAACTGGAAGGGTTTTAACTACTATATATATATGTATGATAGCTGTTGACAATGGATACAAAGAGTTGCTGAGAATAGTGTCTTATGATGCTGAAACTAATTAACATTCTTAGTTGTTTTATTTGCCTAATGTTTTGTTTGCTTATTAATTTAGTTACAAGTGTTGCTATACATGAAATCAAAGATAAAGGTATAAACAAGTCTTGTTGCTTTTTTTTTTTTTTTTTTTTTTTTCCAGGAATATGTTCTTCACAAACTTCTCCAAAAATCATAATAATTCCCAAAATTTCTCCATATATAATCAATTCAATTCATTTCTAGGAGACATCACACATTAACAATATATACAAAAAACTAACACATATTTCAATTCTTTAAAAGAATATATATATACCTTGAGATTGAAATGTAGTTCATCAATCGCCCCAATTCAAGGAGGTTGTCAACATATCGGTCCCAAGTGTAACACTTCATGTCCTGTAAATCTTAGTCATAAATTAAATTAGATAGTTTTTCGAACACCCTAAGACATTTAAATCTGAATATATAATTCTTGAAAATAAATATCTTTCTTTATTAGTACATTTGAAACGAATGAATCGGAGGTTGAACAGAGAACTCTTACCTTTAGATCTTCTTCCAAATACTGTCTACTAAATCAGTGAGGTAAACCCGTGTGGGCACCTTTAGATCATGACACTACAGCTTGCTAAGAATGATCCATAATCATATCTGTAGGTAGTAATTCTGTCATATTTAGTGTGACTTTTCAAACTCAAATCTTCCTTTAATTTGCCCAAGAAATTAAAACCTGCAATATTGTTAAAAGGTACTGGAAAAAACAGTAACTAGCACTGCAGAGAGGTTCAACCACTCCTTTCCATTTGTGGAAATACCCAAAACAGAAAGGAAATCTCAAAATCCCCAAAGAAAAACCGGCTAAAAATATATTAAAATGTGGCAGATAGAACGAAAATCAAGAGATAAGACACTGACACAAAGGGAAATTAAGAAACCCAAGAATATATAACTATATATATTTATAAAAAAAATAGTTTTAATTTCCAAGAAAAGAAGTGATGAAAGATAAGAGAGGAGGGTGTGAAGGTGATGACAGAAGCATAGAGAGCACAAATGGAGTGAGATGCTTTTCAATTTTGGCAGCGATATTTTCAGTTTAGCATATCATCATCTGTGCTCTCTATCTTCTGTCAACAATACCACAATTGCCCCTCTCTCTCTCCTGATTTCTGCTAGATCTATACTCCTTACCCTATATACTGTACCAAATCTTGCTGCAACCACCTCTTCTTTCCAGGCCAAAATTAAAGAAAAACCAGTTTAGTTTGCAGATGGGTGTATAGAGTTTAGAGAGAGAGAGAGAGAGATCTTGGGGGATGGGGTATCAGTGTAGATATGGCCTCTATTTATAGGATGAAAAGTTAAGAGTCATAGTCTTAAAATTGGTAGAAGACATTCATATTCCTAGTAAATAAAATAAAATAAAATAAAATAAGCTAAACACTACTGCAACTACCTTTTCCAATTCAATTAATGTTACTATATTCACCATGCATGCTGCATATTCAATTCACTCTGCTTTCTTTATGCTCTAAGTTTTAATCTCAATTTAAAATGTATTATTATGCAAGTTGGGCTCAGGGCAATTCGTCACATGTATTTTTAGATTTTTGTGATCCTGTTCTTATAAAAATAAATGAAACCCTACAAAAAGTATAAGCGCAATCTTTAAAATCAAACCATAAGAAATCAAACCATAAGAATCCTACTAATCTACTATCTCCAAAGTCCAAACAAACAGAAAAATAAAAAAATAAAAAAAAAATAAAAAACATCTTGAAACTACCTGGCTAGTGGCTACCTATTGGGTAACTGCTATCGTTTGGAATGCAAGTACAACGATTTGTTAGGGGAAGAATCAATTTCTCAGGCGGTATTGGTGGTGGACTGGTGAATGGTACAGGTTTCAAGTTATCTCGGTAGATTCAAGGCTTGAGACCTTATTGGGGAAACAGAACGATTTTGCCATGTGGCATGCTCAATTAATTAGGTCCTAATTATTAAGAGAAAGAAGTGATTTGAGAAAAAAAAAAACATATGATTTCAAGATTAATTGAATTTTTTTATTATTTTCTAAGTAGCTATGTCAAATATAAATATTGAGCCATTTAAAATGGAAGCTCTGTGCTCTTGGGTAATTTGCATTGCACAAAATCCGGCCCTGATTGCAGTTTACGTGCTTCTCATGAATATATATTTTATTAAGATAATATCAAATGTAAAGGGTCGGACCAATAATATACAGTGAATAGGTCACGTCATGACTTGACTTTTGGCATAGGAATTGAAATAATAATTGCTATTATTATTATATTCATTCATGTTGTGACCAGCTAAGGTAGAAACGGAATTACCGTGGAGTGCAGTCTGGAAAAATGAAATGAAGAAGATGAAAGTGACTGGTAACTGCACAGACTTACCATTATTAGAAGGGATTTCCCTTTTGGGGTTAAAGAGTCTTCACCCTGTGAGCCATATTTAACTCTTTAAGAAACTAAAGTATATATGATGACATGAGGGGAAATGCAGAGGGGATATTTTATCATGTCATTCTGGATACGATCTTGGGTGGTTGCGATTCTGATTGTGATCTGATCTTCAAGGCCGGAAAAACACAGTGCTTTAATTTCATGTAGAATATAATTAGATTTCACCGCCCATTGCATATATAGTACGACGTTGTTTTAATAATTTATTTTCTCCTCAGCTCCTCCCAAAGATCCTATTATTGTTTGTTGCAGCTTTATTTGATTTGTACTTCTCAGACTTCATCATCGTATCCTCTTCATACCCCTCATACCTCCTAAATTAATCTTCGTTTTTGGTGTACCCAAGGGGTGTTTATGTTAGTTTAAATCTAACGATAATCAATAATAGTGTACGAGAAACCTAACCTCGTATAAGCGGAAGCCATAGTTGTATTGATCTCCACCCACAGTTAATGTTCTTGTTGTGATGCTTCTGAACAGTAGACGGTTAGTCATTATTTGCCTCATACTTGACTCAAAATCCTAGATAGTGTATTGGTGTCTACTGAGCAGTATGAGTACCATAACTGAATATGCTATACAATGAATATCTTGTATCCCATCAATCCAGGTTTATATTAGGCAGAGTATTATTGTTATTCAGTCCAACTAGACCAATCGTTATACCCTACACCACCGCGCACCTCCCAAAACGACGTCGTTTTGGGAGCTGCGGTAGGAAGTTGCTGTGATTATGTATATTTGTTCATATAATTATGTATATTTGTTCATACAATTATGTATATTTGCTCATACAATTATGTACATTTTTTATACAATTATGTACATTCTTTTTATACAATTATGTACATCCGGATCAGGAAATTTTTGTGTATTATGTTAAGAGTTTATGTGTATTAAGTTAAAAGTTTATGTTTATTATGTATTATGTTAGATTATGTGTATTATCTTTTAAAAAACAGTATGTATATTTTGTTATACAATTATGTACATTCATGTATAACATTATGTACATTTTTGAACATGGGTTTTTTTTTAAAGAAAAATTAACTGCCAAACACTGGGGCGGGAAATTTCAAAAAAAAAAAAAAAAATTGAAACGACATCGTTTTGCATCTGGGCACACAATGCAACGCGCGCCGTGGTATAGGATATAAATTGCCAACCAGACCACTTTAAGCCTAGTCAACTTGCACCACTTAATTAAGGCCCTAATATATAATAATTAAGACCCTAATAGATAATATATAATAAATATACTATTAGGAAAAATCTTATAGTTTAGTGTTGAACATATAAATATAATATATAAAAATAATTATGCAACCTAACTATCAGCTTAGACTAGATGCAAAACATGTTTCAATTTGGTATCAAAGTCAACCCTATGTCAAAGGTTATGGGTTTGAATCACATGGAGCCCAATAAAAAGTAATTGGCTCATTATTCCAAAAGGCTGAACCCCAACCGTGACTCAACTGAACATGAACCATAGAGGCTAGACCGATGCTCACTGCGCACAAGGAGCCCCCCTCACTTTGAGAGGTTGCTCCCACACTGCCGCTGGTAAGACTCGATCCTGGTCATTATTCCAAAATTTCACCTCTATGACCATTTGAGCTACCCATGCGGGCAAAAGTAAAAAAAAAAAAAAAAGTAAAGCTAAATATAACTATCAGCTTAGCCTAAAGCTAAATATCGAACCCTTGACGTTTGTTTAAGGATAAATTAATCATTTCCACTCAACCACACCTAGACCAGGTTCTCCTAAATTAATCTTCAATCCTTCACAACATTAATTATATTGTCTTAAATTCAAGCCTTATGAGCAGAGTAATAGGTATCATATCGAGAGAGTTTTTCATATTGAGCTTGATTTTTATTTATTGAATCTTGAGTATTCACTTTAGAAAATTAAATCTTTAATTAAACAAGTATAAAGAAATAAAAGTTAGATATGAAAACTTGGCCTCCAAAGACCATTTCCAAGGGTAGTTGAGGCATATATGAAGCTGAAATTATATCTGGAACATGTGGACTCAGTCATCCATAATGCCAACATAATGTGGTCTGAGTGAGTCTAACCTATTAATCTTTTGTGTTGCTCATCTTAAGTTAAGAAAAAGAATACTAAAAAAGAAACTAAAGCTCAAATATCAACTACTATATCTAGGGTTTAAATATAAAATATTATTATTTGTATTATATTTTGCACGTTCTTTCACATGACTTTATTTGTTAACTCTATATATTGAAGTCATTCAACTATAACCTAGTATAGATAGCAATCCTTTTTATTTATTTTTTATTTTTATTTATTTATTTTTTTTATGCAATGAATAGAGACGTCAAGAAAAAAAAAAAGTTTAATTTACCAACAAACAGCCCTCAAGAACACTATACTTTGCGTTTTTCAATTCGGAATTTTACAGCAATGCACTATTAGTTGTTACAAAATGCACGTTGAGTATTAACAAAGTGCAAGTTGAGTACTAAAAACTACACTTGTAAAAATGCGAAAGTACATTACATTTAGAGTTTGAATTTAAGAGTTTATGACTAAGTGTTTTTGTTTTATTTTATTTAGGAGTTCATTTTTTACTACTTAGTGTTTAACATTTACGTTTAAATTTAAAATTTATTTTTTCATTGCTTTTGTAAAAGTTATCCAGGAATGTACATTTTAATTTTTATAAAGTGCATATTACAAAGTGAGGTTGACTAAAATTACAAAAATGCTACCAATTTTTTTTCTTTTTTTGATGTAATCCGTCAGACTTTTATAGATATAAGGTTGAGATTATTTCTTAAGTTTTTTGTCTGAAAGTGTATTTTTATGAGATTCTATTTTTACTATTCATTTAAGGTGATATAAGGTATAAAGAATTATCGTATTAAAATATTTCCCACACATATATAACATTTTAAAAAAATATTTCAACCACACTATATTCTTATTAATTGCCTTTAATCCTTTAATATAAAACTGTTTCAACTAAACAAGAATCCAGATTCCAGGCAGGCTAAGAAGATAATGAAATTGAGCAAATCAAGAAATTAAAGTTTCAAGGAAAAGCATTATCTTATTCTATAAATAAATTAAATAGAGTGAAAAATAAAAAAAAAGAATTTAAATTTCGATAACCAAATAAAAGAAGGTAAAGTGAGTAGTATTATCCCATTGGGCTGTATTCTGACAATTTGTGCAATTTTTATTCTTATCTGAGAGATGATTGGCTGGCATTCAGCCACAAAGTTAAATACTGCAATCTATAAAGCTACAGACCTGATAAGGTAGTAGTCTATGCATGTGGAAATTAATAAAAAGCATATCTTCTTGGTAATGTTACGTTATACCAACTTTATTAACATTTCTGACAAAATGTCCTCTCTTCGAACTCGCGAGCTCTTCAAATTCTTACATTACTTCTTAAATGATTTCAACCCTTGTTAATAAAATAAAGAGTTAATACTCAAAATGGTTATCAATTATAATGATTTTTGTTAATTTTCATCTTAAACAATTTTGATAACCTAATGTATTCTTAAATTTTAGTATTTTTGCTCAATTTAGTCATCCATTTGTTATTCTGTCAATTTGGTGTTAAATAGCGGGACAATTCAGTAATTTCAATATTAGCATCTTTTTACTCTTAGACATGTGAAGTGCGAAATCTCTCTTTCTTTTACGAAATACTCCCGTAATTACTTCCAAACCTCCAAATATAAAATTTGATTCGCAAGTCTGAAAGTAATTCTATGAGTAATTCGTAAAAGAAATAGGGATTCACACTTCATAGGCTTAGAGTAAAGAGATGTCAATATTGAGATTATTAAATTGTCCATTTATTTAACATCAATTTAACGGAATAACAAACAGGGAAATAAATTGAACAAAAGTATAAAAGTCTGAACTACATTAAGTCACCAAAGTTGTTTAAGATGAAATTGAGAAAAACCATTATAGTCGAGGACCACTTTGGGTATTAACTCATAACATAAAATATTGTAGGCGATAACTCAATAAATTTATGAGCAATAAATTATAGACAAATAATGATAAATTCTAACAATCGCAATGTGAAAATTTAACTTTCTTGTGCATATAGTCCCTTGTAAACACCAGCCATTGACCCTCTTACATAATGAATTGCTAATTCACCATATCTTACCTCTCAACAATTATGTTAGGCAGATTACAGAAGCTATTGGGGTGAGAAATTTCGTCTTTATTGTGGACAATAAAATAAAATATCTAAATAGGATTTAACTAAAATTCAATAATATAAAGATGCTTACTTTAATATAAGAAAATAAAATAATTTATAACCTAGATTTTTCAACTTCAGTGGACTATATCTTGTACCCAAGAACTCACACCCATGCCTATAAAGAGGGAAATTGCATCAAAATTGAACCATCAAACTATGCACTTATGAACATTAGAAGTCTAACCCAAATCCAAATTCTCAATGTTCGTGACAAGAATCAAACCTCCACTTTATTGTTGCCTCACCTTGCCATTAGAAGCAAATCTTACATGATACTTATCCTTCATTAAACCATAGGGTTGAGACATTTTTTTTTTCCTTTTAATTTGATACTTCTTTGATGTAAGTTTTGATTAAACTACTCATCTAGCTTTACTGCTAGTGCTTAGGAGCCTTAGAGTCTTGATCATCAAGATCTAATTAATCAGATTAGATTGGCAACTTCCGAATAAGTCTTTGTCAAGTATTTTAAAATGCTATTCATATTTTACATGATAAATGTTATTTTTATTTTACTTTATAAAATAAAATGGTGTGAGAAATGGTACTCTGGATGGAAATATGAAAAATCTAAGCCTAGTGACCGACGTCTATTAATAATTAGAAAGTGAAAATTGTAACTTTTTTTTTTTTTTTCTCTGGATGACACATATCTAATCTAATAAATAAAAAATAATAAGTTTCAATTCATGTTATATCCATTATTGTTTATATTCGTTTTTTTTTAAATTTTTTTTTTTTTTTTGTTACCATATGCTATAAAAGTTGTACTACATAATTTTTTGAACAAAAATATCTCAACCGTTATAACTTTTGTTATCTTTTCATATTATTATTACCATGC